GATTCCACTGTATGATAGATATTGCTTGTATTCCTCTTCAGTCATGGTGTGTTGAGCATTCCCAAAGATGATAAGAGAAGAGAACTGCAAGATGGGAATTGGAAGGAGGGCAAACTAAATGGACTGGGATCTATAAAGTATGAAAACTCTACTTTTTGTTCAAACCACTATGTACTAATCCCTGTTGTTAATCATGTTCAGTTGGTACTGAAGATAACATTTTCAATTGTTCAGATTATTCATGACGAAAACTTTAAAGTACTAATAAGCCTTTTTTTTTATCCATATGTTATGTTTTGTTTTAAATGAAAGTTATCAGATTTTTCAAAATTACAAATCTTAAATTAAATTTTTTTCCTAAGAAAAGAAACCCTACTTCCCCTCTCCCCCTCATCTCATGAACATCAACATCTTTCCCTAATTCACCATAATGAATAGTTCACAAGATATCATGTCAGTGTCTTTTTCTTGCCAGATATGCCAGTGAGGATGTGTATGAAGGGTATTTCAAAGATGGACAGAGACATGGACATGGTGTTCTGAAGACAGGGAAACTGACCGCCAGCACTGCCAGTGTGTACATAGGAGAGTGGGCGGCAGATAAAAGATGCGGTTACGGGGTTTTTGATGACATTGTCAAAGGTAAAGGACTGACTGTTGGTTTCTGTACCTGATATTTGGTGTTATTTTTCTGGATGTAATATTTATTGATATGTATGGTAAGAAAAGCGGGTATTTGACAAGTACATTAATTATTGCTGACTTTTATTTCAAGGAAGAAGTATATTAACTATTGCTGTGATTTTTATTTCAGGGGAGAAGTACATGGGCATGTGGCATGATGATCTCTGCAGTGGCAGTGGAGTACTTGTTACTTTAGATGGACTTTATTATGAAGGCAACTGGATACAGAATAGGTTATCAGTAAGTGCTTTTTTGTAAGTCTTTATATCTTATTTGCATGCTTACATGCATTGTTTGTTGCAATGCTCTTTCAAACTTGTTTTGTAAGGTGGTAGGCAGATCAACCCTCTTGATAGGATGTTATTTTGCATCCTTTTCAAAAACAGCACAAGGTGTATCTTTTTTGCTAAAATGAAAATTTGCCTCAAAGGTATGAAAATCAAGTAGGTAGAATGATAACCATTGTTACAGCTAGAATGAATTTTGAAATTGGGAGGCAGGAACTGATTGTGTTTGTCTTAATAGAAGATATGAATAAATGGACTTCATGTCTGTCCACAGGGTGTAGGCCTTATGATAACTGAAGACAACATCTGGTATGAGGGTGAATTCTATGGATCTTCTTTACTGTATGGGAAGGTAAGCATTTTATATCTCCATCCAGAGTAGTACAAAATTTATAAAGATATTAATGACAAACACAGGAGTATTTTATCCTGTGTGTCTTAATACAATTTCTACTTTTGTTACTTTTTTCTTGAAGAGAATCATAGTTGTTATTTTATACAGACCTTTCCCATAAGTATCTTATTTTTTTCTCTGTTTGTTGGTATGGTATTTCTTTTTTCTGTTAATACAAAAAAGTTATAATGCAGAGCAAAAAATTAGTTGTAAAATGTAACAACTGTAAATGATATCTATATTTGCAATACACATTTCAATAATTTCTGTTGGGGAATGAGACCTAAATATATTTGATTTTCATTATTCAGGGCACCATGACCCTTCCAAATTCAGACAAGTTTGTGGGTAGTTTTAATGGTGCTTTCACTGATGGAGTAAAAATAAGTGGAAATTTCTACAAAGCCATTAATCCGGAAAGAAGAAGTGTTCAGCAACAACCCAGTGTATCAAACCCTGAGTAAGTAACAGATATTTTTGTAGCAAATAATTAAAAAAAAAAGAGATGGTGTATTGGGATCTGTCTTAAGATTTTTTGAGATAATTGTTCTTGATCACTGTGTATATGTGAACTGGTGCCTCAAAATTTGTTAGTTCTGAAGCCCATTTCCAACTTTTCTATTACAAGTTACTGTTGGTCTCATCATAAAAGAAGCAAAATAATCATAATTTCTGTTCCTCTCTCAGGTCATTTGGCAAGCACAGCGTCCCCGCAGACCAGAAGTGGAAACAGATCTTCAGTTTATGTGAATCTCTGCTTGGTGGTCCCACTGCCCCAGCAACCAAGGCCTGGGAGGCAGTGGCAGTCATGGTCAGTGCAGGCAAGAGGACAGTGAAGAAGGACAAAGCAAGGTAAATGACTAGTGAAATCATGCCAGGTGGTATTTGCTATATTTCAGCAGTTCTAGAATAGAAATGGCTGTGGCAGTTTTAGTCAAGGATCAATTAAGGTCGGATTCTGTGTTAAAAGGTAAGCAAAGTTGATATCAGGGGAACCAGTGCAGTAGCAGTAATAAAGTTTCAATCAATCGTGTAGGGCCTTTCAAAGCTATTTGACCTTGAGCCAAAAATTCCCTGTAACTTAAATATTCCCAGTCTTTGGCTTTTGTTATAAAGCATATGTGTACATGTTTCAACCAATACTGATTATAATCTTTCATCTTTTATGAAGGCTACACACCTTTTTGTTTTCATATTTATTCATTAAATGAAAACATTGATTTTCCTCCTCTGGATGTTATTATGGGTATTGCACCTTATTGTAATGAATATAAGGATGATTTATTAAATGATTACAACTTTATTTATTTTTTTGCTTTGTCATGGGCACAATACATCAAAATAATGTTAGAATTACCTGAATTTTTTGTGAATTATAGTGCTATCATCTGAATCATTTTCAATATTAGGTATAAAATATATTTGAATGCAAAATAAATTCTAGAAATGCATGAAAATTTGAAAATAAACTGTTTCACAATTCTTAAGCCTTTTGAAATTGCAAAGAGATGCAGAAGCTCTTACCTACCAATGACATGTGCAACATCTGAAGGTCAAACATACACAGTTGCATTCCATGATATTATCTTATTTCTGTTTAGGTCTTCAGCACTATTACATAACAGAATTAACAGAAACACAATAACAGCCCTTGTCTTTTTAACTTGCTTGCACTTAAGGATCTAATAGAAACTAACAATAACCATTGCATAAGTGAAACCTGGTAAATTCAGTGAAATTATTCATGTCGAACCAGCATCATTTTATCTACCAGTGACTCATTACTGTAAACTGGTTTTTATCATGCAGTGGATATATCTTACTTCATTGCTTATATGCTTATCATCGCTAGATGTTAATGGCTCAGTTAATTAACGACACAGAAAGTTATCTCATTGCTTGGTTTTGACCTATGAGGCTGCATATTTGTCATGGATACAAAAGAAAATACCATGCAGAAGCACTGCAAATATTCTGTATAAGGTCTAACTTTTGCATAATGTATGATTTGTTTTGGTTTGACAGTGTGCACATTTTTGATGTCTTGAAGAATCTTTCAGATACAGAAGTGGTAGTTCAGATGACCTAGAAAAGATACCGCCCTACAACAGAGGAGCAATGACTATTGACTATTATAAGCAAATTCAGGAATATCTGCGTAAGGTATGTGTGAAACGACAAATATTCAAGATGGCAAGTGTATCACGATATATATATCGGAAAGCACCTAACGTGACCTGCATGGGCCAATACTAATTTGTGTCATGTATCTTTTTCTTCAATTTTTAAGGTTATGTCCTATTTGGACAATTTAGATATTTTGCTAAAAAACAATAAAACAAGCAAATAAACAAAGTATAAAACAGACTCTGTCAATAATTAAGTAGTATGATAACTATGAAGCTACCAGCAGGGATATACTACATAGAATCATATTGCAATATTTTTGTATGTCACATTGTTTTTACATTGTTTAAAGTAAAAATTGAACCTTTCTTTCTTTTTTTTAAATTTCTAATATGTTTATGCTGCTGAGAAAATGTGCTTGGCTGTAGGTAAATTTTAACTCTTCACATTCAAAAACAGGCCAAGTGATAATGTAAAAAAAAAAAAAAAATGGGTTTGCTTCTTTATATAGCAGAAAGCAACATGCATATATGTAGCTTATAGACAATAACTAGAAATAATGTATCAAGAAGTTTACAAAGTAATTTATATAGTATTTTATTAAATGGAAACAAAAGGAAAAGCACCGAAAGAGGACTCGATTTAAAAGCAATGTTTGACATTGATTGTTATTTTCAAAGCGCCTGCTTATTATTTATTGAAAGTTGTCCTTATGTTAACCCCATGATAGTATCTTTACCTGTTTTAAGTCTTTAAATCAATTAACATAGCTCTGCAGGTATCATTAGGTAAATGTAAGATGATATGATAGAAAACAAATTTCAGTGTGGTATATACATATAATATACATATAATGAAATAAGCCTCATAATTACATATTTGCAAATGAAGTGAGTTACTTACAGAGTTTCTGCAGATAGATACTAGTGACAAAATCTATTGTTGGATCAGTCACATATGCTTCATTGATATATAAAAATATACTTGTAATAAATAATCCCCACAAATATGATAATATGTGGCTTTTACATTTGCATTTTTTTTTTGTCTCTGCAAGGCATTTGAAGTATGTTTCCATCCCCTGGGCAAGCTGATGGAGGGTCTGGTGGACGTGTTCCGTGCCACATATGTAGGGGTGGGAGCACATTCCAGGCTGCTGCATCATGCCAGGGATGAGGTGAACTCCTTTGTGAAAAGAACCTACAACATCATAAGGTTTGTGGTGTCAAGTTATCGTTGAAAGCAAAACAACAACATGCTTTCAGTTTAGGTTTTTAAGTGGTGAAGATTGCAGTGCCATTTTGATGAAGTAGCCTAGGTCTTAAAACATTTCTTAAAAATTGTGTACTGGAGGTGGCCACACGAGAATAAAATCGGTTTCCTCTATTGAAATACTTCATTGTGAAGGTCTCTTCCTCAAAAGTTGTGTTTCTTATCTAAAATTTTATTATTTCCAGAATGCTGTTTCCTGATCTACCATCTTCATCAAGGCCTATGTATATTCACCATACTGACTGTCCCAGTCCTGTAAGTGAGGAGGAAGATGACAAAGGGTGAGGCAGTCTGTAGGCAACACTGTCCTAGCAGAAACAACACTGTTGTTACAAAAGAAATATAGAATTTGAAATAATTTTGCTTCAAGTGCAAAAAGAAAAAGCAAAAAAAAAAAAATCTTATGAATAAATTGTAGTCACACAGGTTGGATACAAATTCTAGTAAATCAGTAGTAATCTGTCCTTACCCTGCTTGTGTTAAAACCCGTACCCATCAAATTACTTTCTCTGGGTAGCCCTACCATACTGTCTTTTTATTTAAAACATGTCAGTGACTTTTGATCAAAATCCATGTGTGCAATATATGATATAATAATGATATTGATGTCTTCTCATTCTGAACACCAGTGAGGTGATAACACCCAGCAGTCTTCTCCACCCCTTGCTTCTGCCAAAGATCTACCCTCCTCTCTTCACTCTGTACGCCCTCCACAATGAGAAGGAGGATGAGAAGTACTGGGACAGACTGCAAAGGTTCAACAAGCAAGGAGATGTGGCTCTACTGGCATATCTGGGAGTAGACCAGTGAGTATAGGATGAAAAAGTGGAAAGGATATAATTATATTAATCTAATAGCAAAAAGGTATATATTAGAAGTACTCAAAATATGTAAAAATGTGCCTCAACTAAATACACTTGTGATATAACATTATATAAAACAATGTATGGTGAATGGATTAGTCTTCATAGGGAATAATGAGAGTGCACCTATTAATTTGAAAAGCTTGGCAAAAAATATGCTTACAGTTTTTCAATCCTGATTTTATAGTTATAGAATTATTATTCTGTAGTCAAACATCAAATGATTGTGAATTAATTGTTCACCACTGCAACCAATATTTTTTTTATTCTGTCAAATATATGTCGTTTTCTAATTTTACAGAAAGTTCTGGCTGATTGATGAATCCTTGCTGTTAGAGAAAAGACAAGTACATATTGGTCTTTCAACAATTTATACCTTTTATAATGTCAATATTTTTTTCTTGCATCAATTAAACTTTTTGTGCAGAGTTGTTTGTAAATAATAACTTTTGCTGACCCATTGCAACATAATTTTTAGGATGATGAGTCTTGTTGAATTCTTGTTGAATATCTGATATATATATTTTTATCACCAAGGCCATAACATTTAATACAGGTAACACTGTTACATTGTTAAAATGATTAAGTTAGTAGGGTTATATTATAAAAGCATTATTCGGCCAAATCTCGAACAACGAATATGCTTGTTGCCTTCTTTCTTGGTGTGAATGGGACTATGAAGGTTTGTGGTAAACTGAGATGGAGGAGACACAGAAACTTTAGATCAT